ATATCTTCACAATACAAGAGATATGATTAACCGGGTTCGAACATATGCCGTCAGTCATGTATTTCTAACAAAGATATATCAGTCATGAGATATATCAGTCATGTATTTCTGAGTCATGTATTTCTGACGAAGTTATATTCGGAACCGTTTCAATACATCCCTTGTATTGTATTCTCATCCATACGTTTTCTACATTTGTCACAATGAATACAGTTCAGAAACCTTACACTATGGCACTTCAAACGGCTCAGAATAGTATAAAGATTAAAACAACGTGGTCACAGTCAGATACCAAAAGACTAGACTTATAAACCGAAGCGAGAGAAACAGCATTTGAACATTAGGGAATTACACGTCACTCCTTCCACAATCCCATAAGGAAAACATGCATACAGAACACATCTTGATAATAATGCTTTGAAAAACAAGTCATATAGATTTACCACAGGCAAACTTTGACGAGAGAGAGGGATAGAGAGAGATAAAGGGAGAGAAAGAGAGAGATAGAGGGAAAGAGAGATAGAGAGAAAGAGAGAGAAAGAAATAAAGAGAGAAAGAAAGAAAGAAAGAGAGATAGAGAGAGACAGTGAGAAAGAGAGAAAGAGAGACAAAGAGAGAAAGATGCCAATGCCATGGTACCTTTTCCACCACTTGCGTTACAAAAGAGTGCACAGATATCAAGATATTCGAAAAAAAAATATGCAAAACACCTTGATAATAGAAAAACTAACCAGCAAAATTGTTATACAAACCCTGCATTAAGCATAAATTCATTGCTCGGTTTTAATGTAGCCTTCCTGCAAAAATAAACACAGCTGTAAAAGAACAGATGATTTAGTTTCAAAGTCAGGTCAGCGAAAACGCCCGTACACACATCTGCAATGCTATAGGTGACACGAAGGTCTAGTAAGGTCAGCCCAGAGGAATAAGGTCAGCCAAAGTCGAGCCAAAGGTCTATACCCTTATACAGACAACAGGATCCAACCCACGCATACCCTTGTCGCTAATAAGGGGTACAACCCACCCGGTCCATCATTCTCGCTTGAACGTTCCTCACTGCAATGTCTCCTGCATGCTGATTCTAGTTCCTAAAGCATAGAGACTAAATGCAACTCGAGTCACTGGGTATATAGACCTTGGGTGAGATGCTGACCAGTCCCGCAGACAGCATAGAGTAGAAGAAACGGATCAGCTTCTGCCTGGTATGACTTGGCACCATAACTGCCTCTGCCTGGTATGACTTGGCACCATAAAGGCCTCTGCCTGGTATGACTTGGCACCATAAATGCCTCTGCCTGGTATGACTTGGCACCATAAATGCTTCTGCCTAGTATGACTTGGCACCATAAATGCCTCTGCCTGTATGACTTGCACCATAAATGCCTCTGCCTGGTATGACTTGGCACCATAAATGCCTCTGCCTGGTATGACTTGGCACCATAAATGCCTCTGCCTGGTATGACTTGGCACCATATCAGACTGTCTGGTATGACTGGCACCATAAATGCCTCTGCCTGGTATGACTTGGCACCATATCAGCCTCTGCCTGTATGACTTGGCACCATATCAACTCTGCCTGTATGACTTGGCACCATAAATGCCTCTGCCTGGTATGACTTGGCACCATAAATGCCTCTGCCTGGTATGACTTGGCACCATAATAGCCTCTGCCTGGTATGACTTGCCACCACAAATGCCTCTGCCTGGTATGACTTGGCACCATATCAGACTGTTTGGTATGACTTGGCACCATAAATGCCTCTGCCTGGTATGACTTGGCCACCATAAATTGCTCTGCCTGGTATGATTGGCACCATAAATGCCTCTGCCTGGTATGACTTGGCAATAATGCTCTGCCTGGTATGAAAGACTTGGCTGTATGACTTGGCACCAATGCCTCTGCCTGGTATGACTTGGCACCATATCAGCCTCTTCTGGTATGACTTGCACCATATCAACTCGCTGGTATGGACTTTGCACCCATGCTCTGCCTGGTATGAACTTGGCACTCAATATGCCACTTGCCTGTATGGACTTGGCATCCATATCTAGCTCTGTCTGGTATGACTTGCACATTATAATCCCCACTGCTTGGTATGACTTGGCACATAGTCATGCCTCTTGCTTGTTATGACTTGCACCATATCAGCCATCTGTCTGGTATGATTGGCACATATCTAGCCTCGCCTGGTATGGACTTGGCACCATATCAGCCTCTGCTGGTATTGCACTTGCATCCATCAGCACCTCCTGGTATGACTTGGCACCATATCAGCCTCTGTCTGGTATGACTTGGCAACCGTATATCAGCCTGTCTGGTATGACTTGGCACCATATATTCCCTCCACCTGGTAATAACTGGTATGACTGGCACCAAAACCGTCCACCTGGTATTAAAATTTCTACTATTCTGCCTGGTATGACTTGCACAATCACCCTGTCTGGTAGGACTTTGGCACCGATATGCAGCCTCTGCGCTGGTAGTGACTTCGGCACCGATTATTCAGCAATCTACCTGATATGACTTGTGCACCGTATAATCAGCCTCTGCCTTGGTATAACTTGGCACCATATCAGCCTGTCTGGTAAGACTTGGCACCTTAATCAACCCTCCACCTGTATACTTGGCACCATATCAACCTCCGCCTGGTATGACTTGGCACCGATATCAACCTCCACCTGGTATGACTTGGCACTCCCTGTATGACTTGGCACCTATCAACCTCTGCCTGGTATGACTTTGGCACCATATCACCTCTGCCTGGTATCGACTTGGCACCATATCAACCTCCATGGTATGACTTGGCACCATATATGCCTGGTATGACTTGGCCCTAATCTGCCTGGTATGACTTGGCTCGCTTGCGTTCGAATCCCTCTGCCTCGAAGCGTATGAAGCTACCTTGGGTCTTATATATCTTATTCCTATTATTTATATATCTAATTTTTTCATTCATTTTCACAAGGAAATAAAGTACTCGGGGTAAAAAAAAATGGTATATAAATGTTCCTACACAAGTGCCTAGATTACATAACATGCCAAAATATATACTTATTATTTGTTATTTTTATTATTCTGTGAAGAAAATAACACCCGCAATTTATTGTCTTCTGGATATATTTATTTATGTTATATTTATCCGTGCAATAAATCACGAAACAATGAGAATCGGATGTGAAGAAAAGAGACAGAGAGAAGAGAGAGAGAGAGAGAGAGAGAGAGAGAGAGAGAGAGAGAGAGAGAGAGAGAGAGAGAGAAGAGAGAGAAGAGAGAGAGAGAGAGAGAGAGAGACTTTTTTGACTTTGACAAGTTTATTGAGAAAAAGGTTACATCTCAAAAGGATGTGGTAAACGTATGTTATCCTCACCCTTACTTGATAAGTCCAGTGTGGGCTCACAGTTCTCATACAAAAATTAGGTGTAATTACCATATAATAACATAAAATACAAAAACAAAAATATTGAGAGTCACGGTCTATAAAAGAGAAAGTTCGTGCACACATTCATGATGAGCTGCACATACGGGTCGTATGTGCAGCTGTTATTTCGCGAAGAACAGGCACTCAGGTCATCCCGGTCAGGTCACCTGTTCTTTGTTGTACATTTTTGTGAAATCCGCTGTCCTGAAGTCTAGACATAATGCTATAAGACAACATTATGCATTACCTTGCCTTTCCATTCTTCCAGCATATCATTAAGCTTTGCCAAGTTTTGTTCAATTTCCCATCGATCCAAGAGTTTTTTTTTTCGTGATCGTTGCACTCCACACTTGTTTTTTTTCTTTCCTTCCCTTTAATAATTATCTCACTTTCTGGGTCCTGCTCCTTTGCAGAAATACATGTTTGTTTCGTTTCTGTGTCTTTAGTCGGAGTTTCTTTCGATGCCTCATCCCTCTCTTTCTGTTTTTTCGTTTCTTCGCTGGGAACCTGGGCCAGTTTCCTTTCGATAGCGTCCATTCTCTGCATCAGCGTCTGGAACATCCTGGTAATTACGGATATTTCCTTAGAAAAATCCGCACCACTACACCGCGGCACTTCCTTCACTTCCTGCACCTGTCTGTCCTGCCCGTCATCACAAGCCATTGGCGACGGCACCACCCGCGGTGGGCCCTGCACCCAGGCATTAGGGACAACAGCTGTCTCCTCCCTCGGCACCTCCGGCCGCGTGGTGACCGGCCTTTTTCCATTTTCTCCTTAATTGGGGACCACCGAAGCAATCTTGATTTGTGGCCTCACCCTGCATGCAGGAGACCCGGCATTGTGGCGCCCTCCGCAGTTGCAGCAGCAAGGCATAACCCTTTCCCCCTTTTCAATCTTGGCCCGGCAGACTCTTGAGTCATGTGTCCTGCCGCAGAACCTGCATCGAGCATCCTGTTGACAGGCCCACGACTTGTGTCCCCACTGCAGCACTTGAGGCACATGACTGGCGGCTCCACATACGGTGCCACCCTCCTGTACCCCGCTCCAGAGATGAATACCTTCTCTGGCACTTCCCCCTTCACTAGGGCAACGAGCTGACTCCGCTCCTCGCCCTGGATGTGTGCCGCCTTACCCACACAAATCTATCGTCGGCCAGCAGAAGTCCGGGTCTAATATCGTGGGATATCGGAAAATTATCACCTTGGTTAACTTTTCCCCAGCCTTTGGGGACAGTCATCACTGCCCCTTGTATCCCTGAGTCGTCAGCGTCTGCACCGCCTGGCCTGCCCGCACCGTGAGATACGGCCTCCCTCTTCCTTCCTTCATCACTGGCTCGAAATCAGCGTGGTCCCGACCCAGTTGCATGGCCCACCTTAATTTTTTTCTAAGAAACTCAAGGCACAGTCTGTGGAAATAGCAGTCTTTTCCTGCCGTTCACACCGGCACATTCTGGGCTGCTGTTTCGTTTCCGTCGTTCTTCTTCCTCTTCTCCCGCTCGCATCCATTTCGTCACTCATGTCTACGCTTCCATCACTTCTTACCCTCTTGTGGGATCCACTTCCACTAGCAACACTAGCCATGCTGATACCTTGGTAGGAGGTGACCCGCCTCCTGTCCAAGGTCAGATAGGGCGGGTAAACACAGGATTCGGTGACCTCACGTCTATGGACAGTACTGTAAACACGTCCTAGCCCTACGAGAAGATACACCACGACTCAGAGAGAGAGAGAGAGAGAGAGAGAGAGAGAGAGAGAGAGAGAGAGAGAGAGAGAGAGAGAGAGAGAGAGAGAGAGAGAGAGAGAGAGAGAGAGAGAGAGAGAGAGAGCAGGAGAGAGAGAGAGAGAGAGAGAGAGAGAGAGAGAGAGAGAGAGAGAGAGAGAAGAGAGGAAAAAATATGATGAAATAAAAAGAAGACGGGAGAGGATGAAGACGAAATAAAAATAACCACCACAAAATGAGAGGAAAAAGGAGAAGAAAAAGACAAAGGAAAGGAAGAAGAAACAGAAGACAAAAAGAGGAATAAAAGGAAGGAGGAGAAAAGAAAAAGAAACAGAAGACAAAAAAAGGAAAAGGAAAAAGAAAGAGAAAAAAGAAGAAAAGAAATAAGAAAAGAAAATCAATAATCAAAGCTCTAGGTCAATGTAAATATCCTCGACCATTCCAGAACCTTCTTCGCCTGATCCGTGTTCTTCCGGAGGATAGAAATCGGGGTATGTGTCCCCGGAGAAATCCCCGGAGGATTCTTCTGAGGGAGGATTCTTCTGAGGATTCCTCGAGGATTCTTCCGAGGATTCTTCTGAGGACTCCTCCGAGGATTCTTCTGAGGATTCTTCTGAGGATTCGAGGATTCTTCGAGGACTGAGGATTCTTCGAGGATTCTTCTGAGGATCCGAGGATTCTTCTGAGGACTCCTCCGAGGATTCTTCTGAGGATTCTTCTGAGGACTCCTCCGAGGATTCTTCTGAGGACTCCTCCGAGGATTCTTCTCGACTCCTCCGAGGATTCTTCTGAGGACTCCTCCGAGATTCTTTCTAAGGACTCTTCCGAGGATTCTTCTGAGGACTCCTCGAGGATTCTTCTGAGGACTCCGAGGTTCGAGATTCTTCTGAGGACTCATCCGAGGATTCTTCTAAGGACTCCTCCGAGGATTCTTCTAAGGACTCCTCCGAGGATTCTCATCTTCCGAGGATTCTTCTTCTTCGAGGATCTCTGAGGATTCTTCGTCTCCGTTTTCTTCTTCTTCATCGCTGTTTTCTTCGGCTTCTTCTTCGTCTTCTTTATTTTCGTCTCCGTCTCCGTTTTCTTTGATTTCTTCGTCGCCGTCTCCGTTTTCTTTGATTCCTTCGTCGCCATCTCCGTTTTCTTTGATTCCTTCGCCGTTTTCATTGTGATACCCACCATGGTACCCGAAATATTCATGGTGATGATCGTCATAAAGTCCATGATGCCCAAAATGACCATCATGATGTCTGTCGGGACTTCCATGATGCCCGAAATATCCATGGTAACCATGATGCCCTCCATCATGACCCCAGTGACCACCATGATGCCCGCCGTGACCCCCATGATGCCCAACATACCCGTCATGATGCTCGCCGTGACCTCCATGATGCCCAACATACCCTCCATGTTGGAATCCATGTTGGCCTCTCCAGGGGTGAGACTCCTCATGGCCATGTTGCCGAGTGCCCTCTCCATCAGAGCTATGTTGACAGAGACCAAATTTCTTCTTCCAACAGTCTTCGCCGCTCAGATAAAAGTGGAATTCGGGCGACATGGCGGCGCACTGGTTCGAACTGGAAGAAGGGAAGGGGGGGAAAGGGGAAGAGGGAAAGGGGGAAAGAGGGAAAGGGGGAAGAGGGAGAGGGGGAGAAAAGGGGAAAGAAAGGGGGAGGTGAAAGGAGGAGAAGAAAGGGGGAAAGGAAGGAGGGGGGAAGGGGGAAGGGGGAAGACACGTTAGCGAAATGAAGGAAACGGAAGAGAGAAATTGGAAGAAATATATATGTGTATGGGGGACATAATCTCCTAGAACCACACAGACACACATACACACGCATACAAACACACACACACATACACATACAAAAACATACAAACACACACACACACATGCACACACACACACATACACGGCATATTCGTATGTATTCTTGCCCTTCCCTTCGTTGTTCCTGTTGCAATCTGTTCACCATGAATTCCACACACACACAACCACACGCACGGACACGCACACAAATACATATACTATCATAATGAACTGGGGAATTCTACTTTGAATATAAAAATAAATTCACCATGTTCTGAGTCTAAGAAAAAAAATATATATATATACAACATATAAAAAAGTATGCATTTTGATAGGATAGTAAAACTTACCTCACAAACTTCCCCTGCTGAACGTAATAAGCAATCGACTGCCGGTTGTTAGATTCAAATAGTATTGGACTGTGAAAGAGAGATCGAATACCATTATTCCGATAGTCTTTTTTGTGTTTAAACAGGTCGTTTCGTGGCATTTATATTAAATGAATCATGGATTACTACTTATTTTTTTCATGAGAGAGTGGGACAGACAGACAGA